AAGTCCCATTACTATTAAAGCATGACTTCATGAATATATCTATTTTGTCTTTCTGTCCAAATGGTAACACTATTACTTCTGTTTTTGCTGTTGTTCATCTTCATCCAAATACTCTCTACCATGTTTCCCTTCTACTCTTTCTTGAATTTCCTCACATGAATATATCTTCTAGATATTTGGCTTGTTTTATTAATATACTATTCTACTTCCCTAGTCTTAATGCTTATCAGTTATAGCTTTTTTTTTTTTTTGGTCAGAAAATAGAATGAAGGGAGAAAAGAAAATAAAAAAAAATTTTTTAACCAGGTAATTAAATAAGAAAGGGAAAGAAAGAGGCTATTAAAAGGTTCTGTACAGCTAGAAAGAGAATTGAAATAGGACTAACTAAAATGAGATTGGTGAAAGCGGATTGTCAGAAGATGGTGAAGGAAGAGGAAGTCTGGTGTTGATAAAATACAGGACATTTACAAATCAGATGTTGATAACTTGAGCACCATTACTTTTTCCAGTAATAATTAACTGAAGTTAATCACTCTTTATTTAACCCATATTTTGTCCCCAGCCTTAAGTAGAATGTTAGTTTCTGATGATGGGTTAAGGGATGAGTCAGAAAGACCTTGAGTTAGAAACTAACTCATTCTTTAGTTAGAAACTGATATCTTTATATTAGGACCTTCAAAATGTATATATGGTTTCGTGTGAGGCCACTTTAAATACTTGATGTCAGTAGACATTACAAGATTTAGTTTTCTTTTTCTTCAGAGCTTCTTGGGAAAAAACAAAAGAGCAATTATGTTCATTCATATCTTACATTTCAAAATGTGAGGAAGATGAGTAATCATCTTCCTCAATCAGGAAAAAAATATTTCTTCTGTGCTTGCCTGGCTCCATTTTCTCCTTTTTCAATATTAACGTTGTGTGTTTGAAAGTTGGTAACTTGTACTTCTTAAAACCGTATGTTGAGCTGTCATTTATTAGTCATCACAAACTTTGGAATGCTTTAGTTCCTATATGTCTATTTTCTTAAATTCTTTTTTACTTAATAGGGATTTGATTGGGTCACTTCCTTTATATATGGGCATATGCACAGGGGGCCAATGTCCCTCTTCATAGAGCCAAAGCACACGAACCCAGCACCACAAGAAGTGCTTTCATCCAAACCATCATTAAACTAATGAAATCCAAGTTTATATGCACATAGTTTTTAGAAAACACCTTTAAGTAGAACACAATTAGATTCTAAAATAAAAATATAAAACCTTAGGTTGTAACTATTAATTACTTTCTTTTCATGTCATTAATAAAGTCCTATGTTCTCTTACACACTTGTAATTCTTGAATTAAAAAACCCAATAGAATAATAACCAACATTTATAGAGCACTTTAAATTTTTTTTTTGGTGAGGCAGTCGGGGTTAAGTGACTTGCGCAGGGTCACAGAACTAGTGTCAAGTGTCTGAGGCCAGATTTGAACTCAGGTCCTCCTGACTCCAAGGCCACACGTCTATCCACTTCACCACCTAGCTGCCCCTAGCACTTAAAATTTTGCAAAGGACTTTATATCCATTTTTATTTGAGCCTCACAACCATGTGAGGCATTATCACTGCAATATAGATATGAAGGAGCTGAGGCTCAGAGAGTTTTAATTGATTTACCCATGGTTACATAGCTAGTAATCCTAAAAGGAAGAGTTTGAACCCAGGTTTATGGTTTTTTTTTTTTTTTTTACTCTAAGTACAGAATTCTATCTGCTCGGTCATGCTGTCTCTGAGCCACGCCTACTGACATTTCTTTTTTTGTTTTGTTTTGTTTTTAGGCAGTTGGGGTTAAGTGACTTGCCCAGGGTCACACAGCTAGTAAGTGTCAAGTGTTTGGTCTGAGGCTGGATTTGTACTCAGGTCCTCCTGACTTCAGGGCCAGTGCTCTATCCACTGCACCACCTAGCTGCCCCTTTTTTTTGTTTTTGGTTTTTGTTTTTTTTTTTGCCTACCGACATTTCAATAAGCTTTCATGGGCTGTACATTTAACCTACAATATGTGCCTTCTTGTTTTCATCATAGGGTTGTATAGGAAGAGTGAGAAGGGACTTTAGAGGCAAACAGTCCAGCCTTAGCATTTCATAGATGAGGAAATTGAAGCACAGAAAGATTGAGTGACCAGGGTCACACAGCAAGTAAATGCCCAAGATTTGGTTTGAACCTAGGTCTTCCCAAATCCACATCCAGCCCTCTCTTCACAATCCTGTGCTGCTCATCTCCAGGTGGGGTTTGGTGTTTTGTTTTGTTTTTTGAAGGAGTAGGGGGAGCAATTCAGTCCAGTGTTGGGTAGAGATTGAATTGTCATCTTGGAATAACTTCTTTAGCTTTTCTTAAAAACTGAAACAATAGAAATAACCCTTCTCTTCCCATAAAACCCAATGACATTTAAGAACCTATACTTGCAAAATAGAAACACTACTTGATGTTGCTAAGAACTGTAGTTTGATAATAAAATATTCCACTAAATTCATCTAGCATTTAAGTACTTATTATAAGCAAGGCATTATGCTAGGCCAAGAGAAAGAGAAGGTTCTAAAGTGAAACCATCTTTGCTGTCTAGGAGTTTCTATTCTATCAGCTGTAGTTAAGAAAACCACTTAATGGGGGAGGGGGTCGATAGGTTTTAAACCTTAGCCTAAAGCAGGAATTTTTAATCTGGGGTTTGTGATCTTGTTTGTTTCAAGTATTGTGACAACTATATTTCAATATAATTAGTTTCTTTTGTAATCTTACATATTATATTCTTTTAAAACTAATATTCTGAGATGAGTCGGTAGGTTTCGTCCTGCTGCCGGAGTGGTTGGGTCATGACAAAAAAAAAAAGGTAACTCCTAATTAAAGTAAAACATTTCAAAACATTCTTTAACATAAACATTTTTATTTGAGTTATTGGGAAATATTTTGCTTTATTGAGTGCTCTGTTCCATAATTTATATTTGCCTTATAGCATTGATACCTAAAAAGTTATTTCTGTGGTTTATTTGGGTTTTTTGCCTTATTGGATTGTGCTGGATTTTATTTTTTCACAGCTCCACTAAACTTTAAATACTTGTGAGGCAGAGTACTTGAGCGTATGTTTTGGTCTATCACAAAGTCACATATATCATAAACTGACTGGAAGAATGTCATTGCTATTTAAGATTTATAATTATTAGAAATAGAGCTGTGTTCAGAAGAATAATCACTTACTATTCTCATCAATAGCTTGTGACTTTTGCCACACTTTAAAAAGATCAAGAACTCCTTTTAAAAGGCAGGGTGGCTTAGTACATTCGAGGTTGGACTTGGAGTCAGGAAGCCCTGGGTTCAGATGCTGCCTCTGACACTTATTAGCACTGTGGTCCTGGGCACGTCATTTAACCTCTTGAGATTCAGTTTCCTCTTCTGCAAAATGGGGAAAATAATATCTGTACTGTAGTACCTATTTCACAGGGTTATTGTAAAATATTATATGTAAATATTTTTCAAATCTTAAAGGGCTATGTAAACATCAGACTATTCAAAGTATGTAGGTAGAAATGTGCTTATGTCATGTTTTATGCTTCAAAATTTTTGTCACAGTGATTTATTTGAAACTTTATTTTTGAAAACAAGTTGTACAACTTTACCTCTTTTATAGTCTTGTTCTTATTTAAACTCTTTAAATTTTTATTTTACCTTAGTGGCATCAAGTAGGAATAAAGGGATTGTAGCATGAAGAATTTATTCTGTCAGGCCTCAATTCTAGTTCCATTTCTTCCAAAAACTAGTTCTGTGGCAAGTTAACTTTTCCAGGTTTATGTTTCCTTATCTGTAAAATGAAGGGGTTGATCTAGCTTCTCCCTAACATGGATCCTATCATACTCACTTCTTGAATAGAGTATGTTGGCTCTTGAAAATCAGTTGCAAATCTTTTCAGTCTGATCCTTGATCTTTTGCTGATGATTATCAAATATTGATTGGGTATGTATTATATTCAAGCCATTGTGCTAGGTTCTATAGGGTTAAATGTTAATGCCACTAATAAAATGAAAATTGTAATACATAACCTCGATGGGGGCATAAGGTGAAGGAGAGAGGTTCTCTCAACCTGGGGAATTTCCATAGTTAGAAAACTTGTTTAGAAAATTCTGAACTATTTAGAAAAAAATTGAGGAAAGTTATTTAGAAATGAGTTTCTAAAGTTTTTGCTCATTGTAATGATTATGTGTTGCATGACAAAATTGAAATAAATATTGAAAGAAGTTAATTCCAATAAATAACAATAACAAACATTTATTAGAAGTACCTGCATTTGAAGAACAGAACAGCTCCTGTTCTCAAATTGCTTACATTTAACTGGGGAGATTAGGCACACATATCATTAAGTAAATACAGAGTGTGTATAAAATATTGCTAATTCCTGGAAGAAGTTACACCTGAGCTGTGTTTTGAAGGAAGCTGAAACTTTTATGAGCCCAAAGTGAGGAAGATGTGCATTAGAGAAAGGTATGACCATCATAATAAGGTCAAGTAGGAGGCAAAATATAGCGAATGGGGAATGGACCAGACCATAATTACTGTATGCTATTTGCCTATAAATATCTTAGTTTTGATACAAGTATTTGTATTTAATTTATTTTTTCCCACTAAAGATTTTAAAGATTAAAAAAAAGAAAGATGATTACAGACATATAGGAAAAAATATATTAGGATATTTAAGTAACATGAAATTATAATATTTTTATATGGTTATATTGCTATATTTGTGATTTACTTATATTAGAAAATGGCAGCTTTTAAGAAAAGTTCTAAAATACTTGTTTTTAAAGAGTTCTCTTGGGCTTTGTTAAAATATGATTCCATCAATTGAATTGGTTTTAGTTTTCAACTTGTCCCTTTAATATGATGGTATTCATAATTTTTGAGAATCTTTTAGTTCAATATATGTTGATTTGAAAAAAATGTATTATGTATGTTATTTTTTAAATATAATATTCAAAGGCTGCAAGCTTGGAATGGAAGAATAAGGAGAACCAAGACACTGGGTTTAAATTTCTCTTTACTTTGTTTCGAAAGTATTATCTTCCTCATTTGTTTCCATCATTTACAAAATTAACCAACCTCTACAAGCCTGTCCTGGGTAAGTAGTGATTTTAGCCACTTATACTGAATTTTGAATAGTTTCCTTCAACATCATCATTAAAATCTTTTTAACTAAAAAATATAACTATTCAAATATGAAAAGGTTAAATAATCTAGATGCTTTTTAACCTCTACCTTTAAAAAATTTTCTAAGAAATTGCAATTTTTATTCTTCTAAGATTTAAATTATTCATACTCTCACAAGGGAGCTCAAGTAATCCAAAAACAATTTATATTTGTTTTGGAATGCACTACTTTTGGCTATAATTTTACTTCCTTTAGGGAGTATTAAAACTAGTTTTCATTTCCTGAGCATCCCATAGCAGGTGATAGGATATTGTGATTTAGGGAAATCAACCCAGGATTAAAATTTGTAGTTAAAAAGTGGATGAGTTGCCTGTAATAAAATCCAGGACTACTTGTCTTGTTATAGACAGCATGAATGCACTGTAATCCTACCTACACTAAAAGCAGTAGTTTTGGCAGGTGGGAGGAGGAGAAGGGGGTGTGTGTGTGTGTGTGTGTGTGTGTGTGTGTGTGTGTGTGAGAGAGAGAGAGAGGGAGAGATTGGGGAGGGGTAGCTGAGACTTTACTTACCTATTATTGCATTTTTATACTCTCAGGTTTTTTTTGTAAAGATGTATTTGCTAAAAGCTTTGCTTCTTATGAAATGACACACTCTGTATCCATGTATGATTATAATCATATTCAGAAAAATTATGATGGTAGATAGATAACTGCATATATGAGGTATTATCTCAGACCTATTTCCATATTTAGATCTACTGTAGAGGAGAAAAGGATTGAAAAATATATATTTGGCTGATATTCTAGAAGGTTTGTTGGATAAATATAAAACAAAACCTTTCAAAACTATCATCCAGTGATTAGATGAAATACCTTCCATTTTAATAGATTCTGCTGCCAGGAAAAATGTTAGCAAATTAAAAATAAATGAATTTGGTTAATGCATTTTATTTGGTATTTACATTTTAAATCTTAAAAAGGGCTTAAAGAAGGACACTGTAACTAAATTTACTGTGTATTAGCCTCAGATGCCATGTTAACTATACCATTTGTATTGGTACAACAAATAGTCTTTATATGTAAAATAATATAGGCTAAAAACAAATAGATAATTCAGATGCAAAATTATTTCTTAATCAGATTCTAATATGGAGACAATAACAGTGCTACAAAAAAGTACTACTTTAAAAAATGGGATTTGAAGGTGTCAGAATAAAAAAACCTCTACACCAGATCAATATAACAACTTTCTAATCTAGATAGATGTATCAAATGCAAATATTTATTTTCTCCTGTGGCTGTGATTTACTTAACTAGATTGTGTACTCTTTTACATTACCAGACATCCCCCATTCAAGACCAAAACCAGTATATGTTACTGCAACTCGAAACAGTGAAAATATTTATAGCACAAAAATTCCATATATGTCAGCTCGTGTTGCTTTTATTAAGTGGATTGTAACATTTTTTCTGGAAAAGAAATACCTAACTACAACTCAGAGCACTAAAAATGGAGGAGAAGTATTGCCTAAAATCATCCAGGTATTTTACTAATCATTTGTCCTCACTTTCTTCTTTTTTTTACCCAAGTAACATAAATAGCCAAAAGAAATGGATTGAATTTTTTTGTGAGGTGGGCTGACCAGTGTGAGAACCAGAAACATTTATTACAAAGTTGTGCTATTATACACAATTCCGTGTGTATTTAAAAAGATCAGTCCCTCTCTTAAGGAAATTTTACATTTTCAAATGTTATCTGTTTCTTCCTTGGTTCCAGAATGTTTGTTAGGCTACAAAATTGTCCCAACTAAAGATTGCCGGTATTTTCTGTCTCCTGATGTTTCTCTGCCAGTATTCAGAAAATAATACAACTTTTGAAATGTATTTTATTAGAAGCATATTCTTGAAATATATGCTGGAGTGAGATGTACGGAACAGATATCAAATAAAAAAATAGTTTCTTTATGTACAAAAATTCTATCTTGGATTGTTTTTCACATTTGTTCTGGGTAGTTCATCTTAACCCACATGATACTAAGGAGCTGCATAATAATCATTTGTAGTGTTGTACTTCACCTTTCCAGTGTGGGCCAAGGAATTTCCATGTTGTCAAAACAGAGTGGAAATAGCCAGTTGGTATGGTCATTGCCACCATCTATAATTTAAATTTACTTTGCCATAAACTGTCTTTGTACAAAACCAGAGGATCTTACTTCCTTGGCGAGCAGCTGTGGGTTCCAAGGATACATACTTCCTTTTTTTGTCCTATATTTGCAACATATTAGTTTCCTCTTTCCCTTCATAAGGACTAAAAGGGGCCTAGAAATTTGCTCAGCCAGAATACATTTGATTTCCTTGCCAAGTAGAGAGATGGTAACAAAGGGCAACACTGGTAAAGAAAATAAACGCTTTTGTAAACTCTTACAAAGAAGGATGTTGTAAGATTATAGACAGTATCATTCCACAAAACAGTGAGAAGCAGTGGAGGTAAAAATAAGGATACAGAAAACTTGGCAAAGAGACCTAACTAAGCCATCTCATCCCAGGAGAATATATAGATGAAAATAGAAAGACAATGAGCCCATGAAAAAAGATGTCAATTTATACGTATTGAAAACTTTTCCTTATCTTTGACAATGGAACTACCATATTTGGACTCCAAATTAATAGTGCCCCACCCCTAAAGATCTTTTTTATTTTATTGTCTCCCATTCCTATGGATCAAATGATTTATTATTGGGTTATGGACAAAACATAAGGATTTTAAGTCATTGTTTTTTTAGAGGCTGTTCACTCTCCAATTTTTATAATAACTCCAGTTGATTAACCATCCTTTCAACCTGTGTTTTTGTATTTGTAATTTTATAGCTATAGATTAAGCTCCTTAGTTAGCTAATGATTTCCCTGAGAGATAAATATAATTGGAGTAGGGGAAGGGATAGCTTATAATTAGGTATTTGATAAATAAGTATAAACTATAGAAACTACTTGACTTGAAAGTGATTTTGGAATTACAATTTTGGTGATTTCCCTGGAACCTCAAACTGAAAGTTGATAGTAATCTAAATTCCTTTAAAAAACAAATATCTTAGTTTTTTAAAAAAATGATTTTTATGTTGTGTAAGCTTTTCCAGCAATTTACAACTATTCTTTTCTAGAATGTTGGTGGAATGGTACAAGAGAAAACTTCCGAGTTGGAAGTTAGTGGGCCATCTGAACAGGACAAAAATCATTCTAATAGCAGTACTTTGTCTGATCGAAGACTTAGTAATTCCAGCCTTTGTAGCATTGAAGAAGAGCATCGGACTGTATATGAAATGGTTCAGCGAATTCTCTTATCTACGCGAGGTTATGTCAACTTTATCAATGAAATATTTCGTCAGGTTAGTAGAATGTATGTGTTCTTTGTGTTTAGAAGGGCTTTTAACAATTTCATTTCTGTATTAAGTGATGATTCTAAAAACACTAAGGTGACGAAGTGACTAAATAGTGATCTTTCTAATTTCCTATATAACTTTTATTTCATGATATTTTATTTTTGAAATGCCTTATTATTAAAACTGTTACACTCACTGTGTGTGTACGTGTGTGTGTGTGTGTGTGTGTGTGTGTGTGTGTGTGTGTGTGTGTGGTGAATGGCCTTCTAGATTTTTGTGCCTTGACTAAATGCTCTAATATTGAGGTAATGATATCTTCTTTTTTGTTCCTTGACTAAATGCTATAATATTGAGGTAATGATATCTTCTTTTTTGTCCCTTAACTTCCTTTAGGACTTTAAAAGATCCACTGTTTTATTAGTATGAACACTCCTTATACTGATACAGATTATGTCATAACCTAAATGTCTAAATGTCATAGTAGAAGAGACACATTATGTTTTAATGAAAGAGTGCTGGCCTTGGAATCAGAAAACTTGGATTTTGGTTCTGCCTCTAACACTAAGAAGATTTGTAATCACAGGGAAACCACTTAATCTTGAGCATAATTTCTCTCATCTGTTAAATGGAGGAAATAATATTTGTTCCTCAGAGGTTTGCTGTGGGAAAACCAGTTAACAGACCTTAAAGTCATGTATAAATATGAACTACTACAGCCATGTTACCATTGTCATTATCATTATTAAAAGGCTTTCACGAATTGTTCTGGCCAAAGAATTCATCACGTGGTTGCTAATTTTTGGTGACAAGCCTGAATGAAATCAGCAAGGTTTGCCTTTGGGTCTCACACTTTTTCACGTGCATGCACACACACACACACACACACACACACACCCCTATATTCAATGTCTGTCCACAAACGTTATCAGTACTGCCAGAGCTTGCGCTTGCCTTGCCTTGCCACATGCAACACCAGACGGCAGCGTTTGCAGTTTGCCCCAAGTTTTCCTTAGCACATAGTTATTAATCGTGACATCTAAAGGATGTCTGCTAGATATTGACAGTGCAAAGATAGATGTGACATAGACCTTATTCCCAAGGAGCTTAAAGTTCTAATGGGGGACATGAATGTCTACAAATAATTATAATGTAAACAAGAATGTGATGCATGCACAGGAGAGGCCCAGGCAATATGTTTGGAGAAATTTGGTGAGGAATCATTGAAGGTTTTGCAGTAGAGGAGTCATGTGGTTAGTGATACATAAAGATTTTTTGGACAGCGTAATGAAAGATGTACTGGAGAAGTGAATAGATTAAAGTAGGAAAATCAGTTTTGGAGGTAAGGTAAGAAAAGATGTGGCTTTGTACCAGGGTGATTTCATAGGGAACTAAAAGGATGGGAAGGATCCTAGATATATTGTGGAGGTAAAAGCCAACAAGACCTTGGAAGGGATTGACCTCTCAATGTAGGCATCATCCTTGACTCCTTGCTATTTGTCACTTTTCATATTCAGTCTGTTGCCAAATCCTGCCAATTTCACCTTTGCAGCATCTCTTAAATATATTCCTAGGCTCCCTTACTCAAGGAAGATACAAAATGCTCCCTTTGGTATTCAAAACCTTTCATAACCTGACCTCCTTCTACCTTTCTTGTCCTCTTACACCTTAGTAACAGAGGCCTCCTGGCTGTACCATAAGCAAGACACTGCCTCTGTTGGCTGTGGGTATTTTCTCTGGCTGTCTCCCATGGGTGGAATGCTCTCCCTTCTCATCTTCATCTACTGACCTTCCTTCAAGTCCCAAATAAAATTCCATCTTCTATAGGGAGCTTTCCCCAGCCCCTCTTAACTCCAGCTCCACAGAGGCAGGGACTGTCTTTTGTCTATGAATACATTTTTATTGACTAGCACTTAACATATTTTTTAAAAAAAAAAATATATGTATATATTTCCCTCAATTACATGTTAAAACAATTTTTAAACATTTTTTTTTTAAGTTTTGAGTTCCAAATTCAATGCCTCCTTCACTTCTTCCTCTCCCCGCTCCCTGAGATGGTAAGCAGATATAGGTCATGCTTGTGCAATCATGTAAAATATTTCCATATTAGTCCTTATGTACAAGAAGACTCAAAAGAAAAAGAATGAAAGTAAATTGGATGCTTCTGGAAGCGGATAGTATGCTTCATCATTAGTCCTTTGAGATTTTCTTGGATCATTGTATTGCTGAGAATAGCTAAGTCATTTACAATTCTTCATCAAACAGTATTGCTGTTATTGTGTATAACGTTCTGCTTCTGTTTACTTTGCATCACTTCATGTAAGTCTTCCCAGGTTTTTCACTTAATACATTTTTATTGACTGACTAATTAAAGGTCTAGCTACCTAGACAGATTCAAATAGTTTTCTCACAGCAGGGAATACTTGTTTCCTTACTGTTGAGATGTAATCAGTTTCATTTCTTTTGTTGTGTTTTACTCTATCTACCACACATTCAGTGCTTTCCGACAGTCTTAGAAAAAGTGTTCATGAAGAAAGACTTCAGGTTTCTAAGTAGTCTGTGTGCCTCTGTTGTTTTTCATTTCTTCATCTTTCATCATTTCATTTCTTCATCTGTCTCTGCAGTGTTTGCTGTATTCTTCTATGACCACCTTCTCATTTATGTCACCAAGTATTAAGATATATGTTGACTTGTATCAAAAAATCTAGTTAATGTGTTACAGAATTTTCCTGCTTCTTCAACCTCCAACATAGAGATTGGCAAATAAGCTGCTGTTATCTTTGTTGTGGTCGGTTTAGTAAGGTACAGCATGGGTACCTCTAGGTGAAATGAAATTATATTTCTTCGTGCCTTGGAGCATACCATACAACCAACTTTGCCAAGTCTTTTGTTTGCTTTTTTTGAATAGAACTTGTGAAGCCATGCTTCCATCTAGCCATTTTTGTTGTTGTTGTTGTTTTGTTTTAATTTATAGTAAGAATGTGAATTTGGACATGGTCCATTTCCACTAGTAGTGTGTTGAACAAAGCTTGCACGTCAGCAATACCAAACAGGTAAATGTTTGTGAATGTCTAAGAACAATGCAATTCGTAGTCTTCTTTGTCTCATTTTGTGACACCTTGCTGCCATCAGCATGGAAATGGAAGAGCTTATTCAGTACTAAGGGCTGTTTTCTATTTTAATCTTTTTTATGGGTCAGCATGGCCAAAAAACCTCATCATCTAGTGTTGGAACTTCTATTAATGCAGCCCTGGAGATAGATAGATCAGTTCTCATATAGACCATAGAGTCTGTCATGAAACCTATACTCAGTCTTTCCAGCTTTGTTATAATCATTGACAGAGCCTCTAAAAGTTCAGAATTATCTCTCTGCTGTGATGAGTTATTGGGGTAGAGGGATTGTGGAGGATCATGTTTCACAGATTGTTATAATTATTGATTTTAAACAATTCCAAGGGTATATATTTTTCATTACTCTCAAATATGTATAACTCACACGGATCAGAAAACCTGACCTGTTTTGGCTAGATTTCTCTATGTCTTTACTTATTTTGGGTTTCTTTCAAGAAGTGTTAATCTGCTGTTTAAGTTTTAAGATCATTTATCTTCCTAGAGGAAAAGAAACAAAGTAGGAGTTTAGTAGACCCTTCCATAATTTTATTATAAGGGTCAGTCAAATATACTGCAAAATTTCCTTGGTTTCTGCTAACGTTGTAAGGACACCAGTATAAAAGTTGTTGTTCTCCTCATTTTTTTTTTGCCACTTTTGTGCATTGATCATCCTGGATAAAATTAACTTTTATCTCATACATTCATTTTCATCCTTTGGTTCTGCTTAAACCAGGGTGCTTTGAGCTTTCATATTATTTCACTCTTCATTTAAGGGATTTTTGTTTTTAAATACCTCTTTTGAACTGGATAGTATAATAAATGCTTATTTTTAGCCAACTCCAAAGATCATTTATTTGACTACAGCCTTGCTGGTACCTAGCACTTAATCTTTATTAATTTTTTGTTCTTGCTATAATTCAAGTGGACTTTAAATATTTGTAAATAGAAGATAGATGGAAACCAGATTGGGGATTTCTAAAAATTCCCTAATATAAGAAGAGAATAACTGTTCTCATCCATTAAAAAGAAGTTGTTTCAAAAAACCACTCTCAAAGTATAGTTTCCAAGGATTGATGAATTTGTGTACTGGAGTCTTGCTAGATCCCATCCAAATGTATTTAATTATCCGAAGTGCCAGAAGATCTTCATCAGAGCAAAGAATATATATCCTTACCATAAACCTTGAGTATCATATAAATATGACTACCATAGTTTTTCTCATTAGTTATCTTGTTTAAATAGCCAATATATTTTTTTAATGGGCAGCCAGTTGGTGCAGTGGATAGAGTGCTGGGCTTAGAGTCAGAAAAGTTCATCTTTGTAAGTTCAAATCTGATCTCAGATACTTATTAGCTGTGTGACCCTGGGCAAGTCACTTAACCCTGTTTGTCTCAGTTTCCTCATCTGCCAAATGACCTGGAGAAGGAAATGGCAAACCACTCCGGTATCTTTGTCAAGAAATCCCCAAATGGGGTCACAAAGAGTCAGACACAACTGAAACAACTGAACAAATTTCAATGGTACAGCCAGAGCTCTGAAGTAGATTCTTATAATTTATATTTACTCTTTGAAGTGGAAAGAATCTCAACTCTACTCAAATGGATCTGTGATTCATCAATTTGGATGCCCCCTCTATCCATATCAGTGGCAGTCCATCTGTCCTGCCCATTCTGTGTGACTCTTGTCCATGTCCTTCCATAATTTTATCATAAGGGTCAGTCAGATATCCTGCAAAATTTCCTTGGTTTCTGCTAACATTGTAAGGACACCAGTAAAGCATTGTTGCTATCCACTTATCAGCCTTCCCCCTTGCCACATGACCGGTCCATCTTCTCTCAGTGTTGTAATTTTTCTGGTGATGTATTTTACTTCTTTTCTTCTTTGAAGTTCCTCATTGGTTACATAATGCAGCCTGCTTCCATCTACCACATGCCCTTTTATTGCCCTTTATGTGATATTCATTTTCAGTTTTTAGGAGACTTATTTTCTGTATCAGGATTATGACATCATAGGATCATAAAATTAGAGCTATAAAGCCATTTAGTCCAACCCTCTCTTTTTAGAATTGTCTTGCTTCCATATAATAATACTCTTCACTCAGTAAACAAACATTTGTTAAGCATGCCCTATATGACAGGAACTGTGCTAAGTGCTGGGGATACAAAGAAGGGCAAAAGACAGTCTCTGCTCTCTAGGGGCTCCTAGTTTAATGGTGGACACAAGATGCAAACAGCGATGTGCAGATAAGATATATACAGGATAAATTGGAGATAATCGAAAGAAAGAAGGCACTAGCACTAATGGTGATTGGAAGAGGCTTTTTGTAGAAGGTAGGATTTTATTTGGGATTTGAAAGAAGCCAGGTACTATATCAGGAGACAGAGATGAAGAATGAAATTATTTCACATATGGGGGCCATGCCCGGAGTTGAAAGTTGTTGGGTTCATATAAGGAATAGCAAGGAAGCCAGTGTCACTGGTTAGCAGAGTATGTGGGTGAGAATAAAGTATAAGAAGAGTGGAAAACTAGGAGGAGGAGATGTTAGAAAGGATTTTAAATGCCAGAGGGTTTAATATTTGATTTTGGAGGTAATAGGGAGCCATTGGAGATTATTGGAAAGAAGGGTGACATGATCAGATCTTTGCTTTAGAAAGATCAAATTAACAGCTGATGGGACTAAAATGGGAAGAGACTTGAAGCACAGAGGATAACCAGCAGGGTACTGGGATAATCTAAGGTGAAGTGATGAGGGTCTGGACTAGACTGGTGGCAGTTTCAGATACAAAGAAAGGAAAAAGACAGGCACTGTTCTTGGGTAACTCACAATCTAATGAGGGAGACAATATATAAAAAGAAGCTGAAAAGGAGCGGGGAGGAGGAGCTCTCCTGTCTACTTTCTACCCTCTCCAGTTAGAGGCACAGAAGAGCCCCAGTGGCAGGAGATTCTGAGGAGGTGTGAGTTTCAGGTTGATGTAATCTTGTAGGACGATGACATTCCCTAGAGCATTGATGAAGTCCTCCAGAGTGCAGCCTGTTGGGAAATAATGAGATTGTTCTGAACGTGCTTTTTAAATGGAAGATCTGAAAGGAGCTCATCGCTGCCTACCTTCTGCCATTTCTTAAAAGAGAGGGAGGGGGCTTCTTTTTACTCCGTTTTTCATGTACTGTATTTTACTGAAAATTCAGTTCATCAAATTTTATTAAATACTTGCTCTATGCAAGGCACTGTGCAAAGCTCTGGACATTCAAAAACAACAGAAAAGGAAGGTTCTCTACCTTCAAGCAGCTTATATTGCACTGGCAGGATATGATATGTATATAAGTAGGTGAATACAATGTAATATGAAGTATTTTCAATATTATGTAACTCTTAATAAATGGTTATAAAACTCAGTGTGTGTGTGTGTGTGTGAGTGTGTGTGTTTGTGTGTGTGTGTGTATCTGTGTAGGGGCATTTGGTAGTGCAATGGATAGAGTGCCAGGCCTGGAGTCAGAAAGACTCATCTTCCTGAATTCAAATCTGGCCTCAGATACGTATTAGCTGTGTGACCCTGGGCAAGTCACTTAACCATGTTTACCTCAATTTTCTCATCTCTCAAATGAGCTGGGGAAAGAAATGGCAAACCATTCCAGTATATTTGCCAAGAAAACTCCAAATGGGGTCACAAAGAGTTGGACACAACTGAACAAGAACAACATATCTACCTAAGTGCACATACACTCACACACACACACACACACACACACAGACATATACACACACAGAAAATGTGAAATTAGTGTTGAACTACATGGTTTTGATTGTCAATGACTTGTGCATGTTTATGGACATATGTTTAAAATATAATTTTCTTTTATTATTTCAGGCATTTTTGTTGCCTTCCTGTGACATATCCGTAACCAGAAAAGTGGTCAAAGTATATAGAAAATGGATACTACAGGACAAACCTTTGTTCATGGAGGAACCCGATAAAAAAGATATTACTCAAGATGATGATGTAAATTTGGAATTGTCAGTGACAGAGACAGATAATACACAGGTGCTATTTTATTTGCCACATTAGCTAGAAGTACATTTTTGATAGAAAATAAATAGATAAGTTTCTTTCAGTGTCTTATCTCATTTAAACTGCATTGCTTTTGGCACCTGTGAATGGTCAGACTGTGAGCTATTTCATAAAGGGCCTTGAGCTTTCACAGAAGAAACTCCAAGGCAAGGACTTCTTTTTAATTAACAAATTATGACAAACTATCTTTTCTGATTAACTGTCTTTGATGCTGGTTGTTTAATAAAGTATTTTCTTACATTTATACTTTACATGTGAACATTACATTTTTGACCTTTATATTTATGTAAAAAGAATTTGGGGTCATAGCGTTTAGACTTCAAAGAAAAGGTTTTGCTAGAACGGTCTCCATTAAGGTATCCAGATCAGTTTGGTTGTTAAGCATCTGAGGGGAAGATTTGCAAGATAATGACAAAATAATAATTTCTAGTACCAGATCCTAAAAATCTTTCTAAAATACATGTAAGCATTGTCATCATGAAATTAATATAGTTGAAATTATATGCCCCATGTCTTTGATTTTTTTTTTATCACACCAGCCAGAAGTCATGAAGAGGGTACATTTATAATAAGCAGCATATTATTGAAAAACAACAGAAATTGCTAGGTTTTATTTAGATTTCTAACAAAATTGTTTCAAAAAATAGCTTGAGGTAATTTCTAGAAGAACATATTTTCATGGTGAATAATTTATTAAAGGCTTTGACATATTTCTGAACTAAAGATGTATGTAGCTGCACCAATCACAATATCTATTAACAATCTTGATTTTTGAATAACTGACCACATGACTGATAAATAGGTATGAATAAAAATGAATAAGTACATGTTTGTCATTTTAAAACTTTTGAATAATATTTCCTACAGCTAGAGATAAATAATTGAATTCATAAATCTCCCTTCTATATTAACTAGTTATTGTTTTTAAAAGGCCACAACTGAGCATTCTGGTCACAAACGATCTTCAAGCTGGGGACGAACTTACTCCTTTACTAGTGCTGTTAGCAGAGGCTGTGTATTAGAAGATGATAATAAGAATATTAAAGCTGGTGTGCAAGCTACACTACAGGTATGTGGCCAAAGTGAAGAATAGCCAAGAAATATTATTTACTTAAGTATTTTACTCTTGTGGTATAATTTCATTTTAATTATTTACTGTTATTAACAGGTAATATTTTTCAATGTGTATAAAATTTGAAATGACCTAAAACCAGAATCTGTCAAATTCTCATTCTGACTCTTACTTTAACCAACTACAGAGCTTCTATTTTATTTTTCCTAGTGTGTAGTTTTACAGAAGGAATCATTGCTGTTCAGTTGTGTAACTTCATGACCCCTTTTTGGGGTTTTTCTTGGCAAAGATAATGGAGTGGTTTGCCATTTCCTTCTCCAGCTCATTTTATAGATGGGGAAACTGAGGCAAACAGGGTTAAGTGACTTGCTCATTGTCATACAGCTAGTAAGTGTCAGAGATCAGATTTGAATTCATGAAGATGAGTCTTACTGACTTTAAGCCCAGCACTCTATCCACTGTACCACCTAGCTCCTCTTATAGGGGGAAGCTTATGAAAATGCAAATTCCTTTTTTTTTGGTAGGGGAAATTTTGTAGTAATAGGACTATTATGTAACTGATTTGTTTGAGACGTCTTCTTGGAGCATGTCCTTCAGTACTGCACTACACTGTAATCTTAGGCAAGTCACCTAAGCTCTTTGAGAATCAGCTTCCTCATCTGTAAAGTAGGGATAATAATATTAGTTCTGTCCGACTCATAGGGTTGTTATGAAGAAAATGTTTTATTACTTTACACTCAGCGCATATTAGTTACCAGTGATGATAATCATTTAACCCAAGGGTCACCCAGTTACACCTGAGGGCTGAGTTCACATGTTTATGCCTATGAACCAAGAATCGTTTTTACACTTTTAAATAACATTATTTAAAAGTGTAAAAACGATTCTTAGCTCACTGGGCTGTACAAAAGCAGGCAGCTGGCAGATTTCTGCTGTGGGCAGTAGTTTGCCAGCTCTTGATTTAATCTGTCTATGTCCTGATTTGCACTGCAGACTGCATATAGTAGTTGCTGTTACAGTACCTTTAGATCACAAGATTCAGAGCTGGAATGCATCAGCTAGTCCACCCCCCTCCTTTTAGGACTGAGGACACTGAGATCCAGTGACATTGGAGTCCTGGCTGTTCCTCACACAGTACATTCCATATCCTGACGCTGGGCATTTTCACTGGCTGTTCCTCATTCCTGGATTTTTTCCCCTCCTCATCTCTGCCTATTGGCTTCTCTGGCTTCTTTCAAGTACTAGCTAAAATCTCACCCATTACTACAGGAAGCTTTTCCTGATCCTCCTTAATTCAGTGCCTTCACGCTGTTGATCTTCTGCAGTTTATCCTTTATATAGATTGTTTGTTCATGGTTGTTTACTGTTGTGTCCTCCATTAGACTGTGAGCTTCTTGAGAGAAGGGGCTGTTTTTTGTCTTTCTTTGTAGCCTCATCGTCTAATACAGCAGCTAGCACTTAGTAGATGCTTAATAAATGTTTACTGGGGCAGTTAGGTGGCACAGTGGATAGAGCACCAGCCATCTAGTCTCAGATACACAACACTCAACAGCTGTGTGACCCTGGACAAGTCACTTGCCTAGTCAAAAAAAAATGTTTACTAATTGACTGAAGTGACTTGCCCAAAATCACATAGATTTTAGGGAGCAGATTTAAGGTTAGAACCCAATTCTTCTTATTCCAAATTCAGTCTTCTTTTGAGTGTCCCATTATGCTTGTCTTATAAGTTAATTATTTCTATCTTAAAAGTTGTTTAGGCTATATTTATATACCAAGTAGTAGCTCTCTTGAAGATGTAAAAATTGTCTAAATAGTTATTAAATATCTTTAAAAAAAGAACTGATACCTAGTAATTGAATAGTATCTTGATCCTAACCAAATAAGAATATTTTTGTAGATATATTAAATTCTGTATATCCCAGTGAGACAGCATATATAAAGTCTAGGGGTGGAATTTATGATGATTAGTTGAATCTATAGGTAATGTTTTTCTGCTCAAAAGCATTTTTCTTAGGATTCATTGTAAGATTATATTCTCAGATTAATAAGCAATTTTGTATTCTAGAATAAAATCCCCAGCCTGGCATTTAAAGCACCCTACTATCTTGCTCTTGCCTGCCTTCTCCTTCATAATACTTCCCTTTAAGCACTCCCCATTACACTCCTCATTGCAGTTACAGCAGCCTATTAGCCATTTCTCAAGCACATATCTCTTTTTTATTTGTATTCTCGGTGCTTAGCACACATCTTTGTGTGTAGTAAACATAATATCACTCATTCTTTCAGAACTAGAAAAGGTAACATATTAGCCTTTTGACTTCAATTCTTGAAGGTTAGGTAGGTGCCCTCTTCCTATTCTCTTACTTGTAGACTAATTTCCTCTTAGTCATTTTTGTTCTGCACTTTGCATACCAAAGAGCATTCTTTTTCTTTTTTTTTAAATTTTTTTAATTAATTTATTTTTAGTTTTCAACAGTCACTTCCATAAGCTTTTGAGTTTTAAATTTTCTCCCCCTCCCTCCCCACCTCTCTGCCCAAGACAACATACAATTTGATATAGGCTCTACATATACATTCCTACTAAACATATATTAGTCATGTTGTGAAGAAGAATTAGAACCAATAGGAGGAACCACAGGAAAGAAGAAATAAAACAAAACAGAAGGAAAAAAAGAGCAAATAGTATGCTTTGATCTGCATTCAAACTCCATAGTTATTTCTTTGGATATGGATAGCCTTTTCCATCATGAAACTTTTAGAGATGTCTTGTATCCTTGCATTGTGGAGAAGAGCTAACTCTATCAAAGTTAGTCATCGCACAATGTGGCTGTTATTGTATACGATGTTCTCCTAGTTCTGCTCACTTTACTCAGCATCAGTCCATACAAGTCTTTCCAGGTTTTTCTGAAGTCAACTTGTTCATCATTTCTTATAGCACAATAGTATTCCTTTACATTCATATACCACAACTTGTTTAGCCATTCCCCAATTGATGGGCATCCCCTCAATTTCCAATTCTTTGCCACCACAGAAAGAGCTACTATAAACATTTTTGTACATGTGGGTCCTTTTTCCATTTGTATGATCTCTTTGGGATACAGCCCTAGAAGTGCTATTACTAGGTCAAAGGGTATGCACATTTTTATAGCCCTTTGGGCATAGTTCCAAACGGCTCTCCAAAATGGTTGCATCATTTCACAACTCTGCCAATAATGCATGAGTGTTCCAGTTTTCCCACATCTTCTCCAACATTTGTCATTTTCCTGTTTTATCATGTTAGCCAATCTGATAGGTGTGATGTGGTACCTTAGAGTTGTTTTGATTTGCATTTCTCTAATCAATAGTGATTTAGAGCATTTTTTCATTTGAGTATAGGTGGCTTTAATTTCTTCATCTGAAAACTGCCTGTTCATATCCTTTGACCATTTATCAATTGGGGAATGACTTGTGTTCTTATAAATTTGACTTAATTCTCTATATATTTTAGAAATGAGGCCCTTATCAGAGAGACTGATTGTAAAAATTCTTTCCCAGTTTTCTGCTTCCCTCCTAATCTTGGTTGCATTGGTTTTGTGTAAAAACTTTGCAATTTAATGTAGTCACAATTATCCATTTTGCATTTCATAATGTTCTCTATCTTGTTTGGTCATAAATCCTTCTGTTCTCCATAAATCTGACAGGTTAACTAGTTTGCTTATAGTATCAGCCTTTATATCTAAATTGTATACCCATTTTGGCTTTATTTTGGTATATGGTGTAAGAATTTGGTCTATGCTTAGTTTCTGCCATACTCTTTTCCAGTTTCCCGAGCAATTTTTGTCATATAGTGAGTTCTTATCCCAGAAGCTAGAGTCTTTGAGTTTATCAAACAGTAGATTAGTATTCTACTGTGTCTTGCATACCTAACCTATTCCACTGATCCACCACTCTATTTCTTAGCCAGTACCAAGTAGTTTTGATGATTGCAGCTTTGCAATACAATTTAAGATCTGAAACAGCTAGACCATCTTCCTTAGCATTTCTTTTCATTAGTTCCCTTGATATTCTGGACCTTTTGTTCTTCCAAATGAATCTTGTTATTATTTTTTCTAGCTCTGTAAAATAATTTTTTGGTAGTTTGATTGTTATGGCACTGAATAACTAAATTAACTTAGATAGAATTGTCATTTTTATTACGTTCGCTCGGCCTGCCCATGAGCAACTGGTGTTTTTCAAATTATTTAGATCTGATTTTATTTGCGTGAAAAGTGTTTTGTAATTGTGTTGTATAGTTCCTGGGTTTGTTTCGGCAGGTAGACTCCAAAATATTTTGTAATGTCTACAGTAACTTTATAATTTCTCCCAACAAGCATTCTTGGTAGAAAGAAATGCAAGGAAAATAATAGTTGAAGAGCATCTTTGCTTTCTCTTTTTCATCTGTTATCATCTTTCAAAGTAACAGTCCTATCATTTATTTGACTATCCTATTTTTTTCCCAAATAGCTAAAAATAACAGTGAAACCTTATTATCCTTGAGTATACTGTCCAGCCTAAACCATATTTTTTTTTTCGCTATTTTACCCTGGGTAAGTCACATAAATCTCTCTGACTCTCAGTTTCCTTATCTGTGAAATAGGGTTGGCATTGATACCTTTTGGATCTATGATCATCATAAGCTTTACCACTTCTGATGCTATTTTTATAGGATCATGCCATACTTTCACATTCACCATCTGCTATTTTTGCCTTAATTCCTTCTTTTGTACATGTTCTTTAAAAAAAAAAATCTGAGTTCCCTAGGCATCCACATTAGTCTCTCTAGACAATTTCTTGTTTCCACTCCGCCCTGAACTTCATTCTCAAGAATCCCTCTCTCCTCGATGACTTCTATAGAATTTTAGTTGATGACAACCACCTTAGATTTCTCAACCCTGTGGAATGTTATCCTTAAATCTTGAATGCATGGCAGTTTATTCTGGCTATTCTGTTACAAATTAAAAAATGGAGTGGTCACTTCCCTTCAAAGTTTCCATAATCATTTCTACCATAGCAACCAATTTCTCCTTGAATCAAGAATCATACCTAGAATAGAATTGTTCTCTTGTTTTTTGTTTTTTCCTTTTGATGCATGAGCCTTAAAGCAAGTCAGGAAATTAGTAGCTACTTTGTTTTGAGCAGAGAGATCGAACAGCTGAGAGGAGACTCTTGCTATGTACATAGCTTGTGTCTTATCCCAAATGTTTCTTCTGCTTCCTCTTTTTTGTTAAGATTATCTGTAGTCTATTCCAAAAGCAGCCTAACTTCTTTTTTTCTCTCCATTGGTCTTCACTCAGGTGTTCTCCATCTAGTCAGTCAGAGGGTTCCCCAGGTATGGAATGCACTCCCTTCTCACTTTGGTTTCATAGAATTCCTTGTTTACTTCAAAGTACATCCTCAGTGTGACTTCCTTCATGACATCTCTCCTGGTCTCCCTAGTTACTAGTTAGTGTTCACTACCTTTTTGCTTTTTATATGTTGTGTACTTGTTAGCTTGTTTATGTGGTATATCCCCCAGGAGAATGTAAGCTCCTCAATGACAGGCACTATTTATTATTATTATTAGAAATAATAACAATAATAATAATTACTATTTATGTAGCTCTTTAAAGTTTGCAAAGTGTTGTACTTATATTTTCTCATTTGATCCTTGGAATAACTCTATGAAGTAGATGTTTTTATTATCCCCATTTTACAGAGGAGGAGACTGAGGTAAATTGTCCAGGATCACACTGCTAGAAAGTATCTGAGACAGGATTTAAATTCTGGTCTTCTGGACTCCATGTTCAGCAGTAGACTGAATCTTTCAGGTCTGAAGTAGTAAAACCAATTAATAGAACAAACCAATTAAAATCTTTGTTCATTTTATATGGGAAATTGTCAGAATAATTAGAATATAAACCTTTTACAAATCTGGGTACTTTTTACTTAATAATTTTATGAAAAAATAATTTAGTGATTGAATATTACCTAAGCAATTGCTAGAAAAATACCCCTTCTTAGTCATGCTTAGTATTTCAGATAGAATGGAATGCCTTTGTCAGCAGCTGGTAGAATAGACATTGCTTTTAGAATAGATATATTCCTTTCCTTTTTTTCAGTAAGTTAAATTATACCACACATCATCTAAGTTTGATGAATTGAGAACAAGTTCCCTAATTTTTCTAACTCTGAAGAATTGGGTAGCATTAACTGTTCTTTGGATTTTTACCCCTGATTTGTTCTAATGCATTCAGATTTTGCAATTCACTGTACCTGCTGAACTTGGCCTTCCATTGAACCTGCCTTCCATTAGGAAAAAGTGGTCAAAACTCAGCATTGATGTATCTCATTTAACAAACATTAAATGTCTATTATGTGTGCAATGTATTGTACTGGGCTCTAGGCAAGGAAAGTGGGCCATGGTTCCCGTCTTCAGTATGTCAATTGTCATTCTGATATGTTTTATAAAGTGAAAGACCATGAGAAGATTAGTGTGAATATCTGTTTCTCCCTCTATGTTGACTTGTGAAGCTTTAGGAACACTTTTCCTTGATGTGCTCAAAAGTTGTAGGTTCAGATCAAGGATGCTAAGTACATTAATCTATTCATTTTAGGCAGTCACTTAATACAATCTTTATTTCAGTCTTAAAATTTACTAAATTCCTAAATGTATTGTAGGTTGGCTAAAAAGATATTCTGATTTTTTTCAACAATAAATTATTATATTTGATTAACATGAGGCCATTCATAATTTCTATTTTGGGAAAGCATATGGGAGATTTAGTTTTAATGGAGGTTTCTTTCTAGGAAATTATCAAACCATTTTAGTTCAAGTAATTTTTTTTGGGAAAATTCAAAATTATAAATTAAACCCAATTTTTATGTGGTCATTTTGAATTTAAATATAATCAATCTTTTTTCTCTAGTCAGCACAGTTGATAAGAGGCCAAGATTGGTTATAGACTCAATCTCCATATGAGCCAATTAGCTCAAATGGTGATAGAATATGTATTCTTAAATGTTTAACTGTGTTGCACTTTTTTTTCATCCCTAAAATAAGTTTCCTTTCATCAAAAAGGGGTCTGGGCAAAAGAATGTGGCTAGATTAGCACAAAGCCATCATTAATGCTGAAATACCAACAGCACCAATTTTTAAAGTGATACATTTACTTAGTTAACCCAGGTAGCTCATTTATTCCTAGTGACAAATTTGTACTCTTAAAATCTTTTTAAGACTAAAATATGCATTTACTAGTTGTTTACTGATCTTTTGTCCTATAGTCCTCTCTCCTCCATCCTTCAGAGCCTAGCTGCAGTTTTTTTCCCCCTTCACCTTAGAGGGTTTGAGAGGGAATCAAATAAATATTTTAAAAGCCATTCCATGATGCTTTTTATTTGGATTGTGAGTGTGCCACAGTTTAATTTTATTTTAGAGGAATTAATTTATGGCATTATTAATATCCATGTGATTTTAAAAGTTAAATAAACTAAACCTTCAGGGATATATTTTATACTCTTTATTTCTCCTGCTGCTGTAAAAACTAACATTATTCTAATAGCATGGATTGATGGACTGAAATAGATATATTTGTCCTTAAAATAAGTTTCCCTTATTTAAGAAATTAAATTTCTTTCTATTTCAAATGCTGTTCATTGTTCTTAACAATGTTGTTTTTGTGTTGTTACCTATCTCCTGACAGAAGTGGTGGAATCAGGTACAAAAAAAAGACAATACACTTTTGCACATGGTCACTGTGGATTTGTTTTGCTTGGCTATTCACTTGAAATAAGGGTGATTTTTCCCCCCAACTTTTAATTTGAGGAAGCTTGGAAGGAGAGGGAGAAATTGTGATGCCAAAAAAAAATTAGTAGTTGAAACAATTTTTTTTAACATACAGAAGGAATTCAGAAGAAATAATGGACAAACAGGGCAGTTTTGAAAGTAACATGTTCAATTATTGTACTTAAAAAAAAAAACAAGATATATGAAATGGATTTCATATATAGTTCTTTTTTGTATTCTGCATTATATATAGAAATTATCTTTTCTGGTGCTTAATTTCAGAATAAAAATAAAATTAAAAGAAATGTATTGCTTTACAGGTATTTTTGACAAATTCTGCTAATGTCTTTTTATTGGAGCCATGTGCTGAAGTTCCCATGCTTTTGAAAGAGCAAGTTGATGCCTGTAAAGCTGTTTTGAGTATTTTTAGGCACATGATAATGGAACTTGCAATGAACAAAAAGACATGGTAAGTTTACTTTTCAAAGAAATTGATGTGGTATGTTTTAAGTTTTAATAGTGTAATTAAAATATTAAAGTACTGCTTTACTGCTTGTTATAAAATCTTCAGTGAGTTCACAGTTGGTATTGAATAAGGGATTTCAGTGAATTATGAAGAATTTAAACACAAGACTGTGCCTTGGTAGTTCATTGTTTTTGAATATTGATATTAGAAATATTTTTGAATTGAGAGTGACTAGATCACTTTATTGTGGTGTACATGTACACACATTACACACATATATATATATTTCCACATTAAAACAGGTTAAGTGGTTTTGTGAGCAGTTAACCCAATAGTTTGTTATATACTTTAATATAATGTATAAACTGAAATCAGTTCAATAGCTGTTTAAGATATTATGGAATATTATATTTTTTCTACTTACCTGTTTGTTGATAATTTTTTTAAATGTTAGCAAGGAGACTTAATAAGGAGTTTTAAATCCATTCTGGAAAAAACATTTTCAGATTAAAAAAACAGAATAATTTAATACATTTTGTTAAAATCAAAGTGATGTTATTATATTGACTCAACTGACTCTTTTTCTATTTTTTACTTTCTTTGAAGTAGTGATATTTATAATCACAGTCTGGGCTTTCAAGGGGCTCTCACATTTTAATTGGAAAGACAATAGGATTCAGCTCTAGGGCTTTTGGAAAGGCCTAGTGGTTCTAGTGCAATAGCAGGGTAAATGGCAAGACCCAGGGGCCCTTGAGATACAGCATCACGTCAAATGGTAAGGGTTAATGCTCTGCCATTGTATCAAAGTGATTGTAGTTGATAATTCTCTATTCATCAAAGTGGAGTGAGTGACCACGTACACCCTGCTGATGGGGAGTTTGGAGGAACCTGGGCTTATGACAATAGATCTACTAGCCATTAGGTGTTTCAGAATGGATGTCCAAGATATCTTAAACTCATCGTGTCCAAAAGGGAACTCATTATCTTCCTCCCAACTCACTTGTCTTACATTTTCCTGTTTTTGTCAAAGGTACCACTATTCTTTTAGTCTCCTGATTTGCCAGCCTCAGGATTAACCTTAATTCCTTTCTTGCACTCACCTCATATATATAATCAATCATTAAATCTGTTTTTACCAACAGAACATGTTTCCCATCCAACCCCTTTTTTATAGCAGTTATGATAGGGTTACTAAAAGTCTGATTATTCAGGAGAATCTTTTAGATTACTTAAATTTTGACTAATAATTTGGCAAAGTTTCTTATGCTGTTCTTCTGAGAAAGATGGTGAGATAGAGTAAATATGGTAATACTGTTGAGTAAATTTCTGGAACTGATTGAGTGGTTGGACCTAAAAAGTAATCATTAATGAATTGAAGTCAGCTTAGAAGGAGATCTCTATTGGTAAACTCCAGGGATCTATCTTTGTTCCTGTGCTTTTTAATAGTTTTATCAGTGACTTAAATAAAGATATAGATGGCAAACTTATTTAATAAACATATGTTACAATGCTTTGAGACATAGCTAACACTAGATAACGGTATTCAAAAATATTGAAAGGTTCGAATGTTGAGCCACATTGACTTAGATGAAATTAAGTAGATGTAAATAAATTTTCTTACCTTTGTGTTTAAAAAGTCAGCTTCTCAAGCATTATGTAGAAACACATGGCATGGCAGCAATTTGTCTGAATAGGATCTGGGGTTTTAGTAACCTGCAACCTGAAAATATAACGCTAATATTGTGTTATGGCAGCCAAGAAAGGCAAACTTAGGTTTTCATAAGAGAACCATAGTTCTCAGAAACCAGAAGGTGGTTGTCCTGCTGCTGTACTCCACCATAGTCAAAACTCATCTGGAGTATTGTGTTTAGTTATGGCACTGCATTTTAGGAAACAAAAACATTGATAAGCCAGAGATCATTCAGGAAGCATGACCAGGATGTTGAAGATTTAATTCCTGCCAAATGAAATAGTTTCAAGAGATTGGGGGTGGTTAGCCTGGAGAAGAGAGGGTAAGGATGAAATCAAATAGTCAGATATTTGAAGAGCTGACATGTGGATGAGGATTAGATTTATTTTCCTTGACTGTAGAAAGCAGAACTAGAAGTAATAGGTGGAAGTAGTAAAGAGGTAAATTTAGGCTAAGGGGAAAAAAAAAATTCCTAACAGTTGGAGTAGTCCAAAGAGTAATGGGCTACCTTGGGCTCTATGACCATATTTTAGGTATGTTGTGGAGAGGAATCTTGCTCAGGTATGGATTAGATTAGATGTCATTTGAGATTCTTCTGACTCTTGGATTCCATTATTCTGAATCTGTAATTTTGTAATTACTCAACTAAGCTTTACAGTTAAGAGGAGACTTGAAGAGGAAGAGAGCTACAAACATGATTACAAAATAAGACCTCTAAGGAAAGGTTAAAGAAAATTGAGTTTTTGACACACATTGAAGAAAAAAATAAAGAAATTTAGTAGTGGATTTCCCTTGAAGAACCATAATTACCTGTTTGTCTCCAGTAAGATGAGAATTTTAAAAATGGCAAAAATGAATGATTTAGCTTGCTTCTAAAAAATTCCCAGATGAAAAAGATTGTTAAATATGACTACTACTTTAAATTTATATAGAGATTTATGTTTTTAAAAGCAATTTTGTGTGAAAGTGTGAATCTTCATTTAAAAGGCCGTTTTTTACAAGTGTGTTAAATTATTATTGGAATAGTTATCAGTTTTATCTGATTTGAGAGTGGTCTAGATCAGCGTTTCTTAAACTGGGTTATGACCCACAGTTTAAGAAGCACTGAAGGGGTCATGAGTGGAAAAAGTTTAAGCATCCCTGGTCTAGATCACATAGTGTCTTGAATATGGGTAGTTGGCAAATACATTAGATAACCTCTGAGACTAATCCAGTTGTAGGAATCGGTATTTGAGATTTGATAGTAACCTTAACATCCATACACTAAAGAACTGACTGACATTTTCCTCACCATGTAAAGCCATACTACATTTGATAATAGAAATGAAAATGTTTTGAGGTATTTAAAAAAGTGCTATAAAATCAAGGTGTTACATTTGCTTTCCCAAAATAGAAATTATGAATGACTTCATTTAATCAAATACAGTCTCATAGTCATATTCCTGCAGGACTCACTGTGTCCAAAATTATTTTGTGTATGGTGATGATAGTGCAGAATTAGGAGAATTATTTTTAAATGTTTATTTTTTATTCCAAGATTATATATTTTGGTAAAATTGTTATTTTCTTGATAAGACAATTAAGATTCTTTGATTGATACATGGTTTCTGGTCCATGTCTTCCTTGACTCTTTTCTTGCACTCACTCCAAATATCCAGTCTGATGCCAAATTTTACCAGTTTTCCCTTCACAACAGCTCTTGTTTATGTCCCATTTTTTCCAACTCATGCAGCCACGACCCTGGTGCAGCCTCTTGTTACCTCACCCCTGGACTATTTTAATAGCCTTCTGGTTGCTCTTTCTACATTGTCTCTCCTTATTCAAATCTCTCCTCCACTCAGCTACCAAATGATCTTCCGTAACTGCCAATCTGACCATGACCCTAAACTCCAGTGGCTCCCTATTACCTTTAAGATCAAAATAAATTTAAAGTTCTTTATTTAGCATTCAGAACCCTTTATGACCTTGCTCCTGCCTGTTGTTCCTGCCCTCTTACAACTCAACTTCCCTTATACTCTTCAGTCCAGCAACATAGAGTGCTATTCCCTATACACAACACTCTAGCTTTTGACTCTATCCCTTCTCATTGGCTCCCTTCTCCCTTCTCATTTGACTCTGTCCCTTCTCATTTTATACCTGGAATGCTTTCCCTCCTCACTTCTGCCTGACTTCCTTCCAAGTAGGTTTCTATCCTGCCTTCTGCAAGAGGACTTTCCTGGTTTTTCTTCTTACCTCCCTCCTTTCCCACTAGTGCCTTCCCTCTGAGATTACCTTCCATCTCCTCTGTATAAATCTTGTATGTATGTAGTTGTTTGTATGTTGTCTCCCTTATTAGAATGTAAGCTCCTTGAGAGCAGGAACCATTTTTTTTTTTTTGCCTTTCTTTGTATCCTCAATACTTGGCACAGTACCTTGCATGTAGTAAGTGCTTGATATGTGCTTATTGAGTAATTGACTCACAGCAGTTTCTAATTTGAGAGTTTAATGTAATTGAAATGTTTACCATTGTGATGAATAATGTATGGAATTTACATGCAACTTTTATTTTGGGGGTCCAGGGAGCAGATGTTGCAAATACTACTCAGGATAACAGAAGCTGTCATGCAGAAGCCAAAGGATAACCAAATAAAGGACTTGTTTGCCCAGAGCTTGGCAGGGTTACTGTTTAGGGTAAGTCTTTAAAAAGAAACAAAACAAACCAAAAGAACAAAAACCCACAAATCTGTAGAGCTAGCCAGGTTTCATATATAATATGTTAGTTTTGACCTTTAATACATTTTTAAAAAGTGGTAAAAATGTATTAAATTTATGGTTTACCTAATTAACTTTATGTAATTTATGGGATTTTTTATTTTTATTTTCATTTGGAGAGGCAGAATGATGAGGTAGATGGAGGGCTAGCCTTGGAGTTAGGAAGACCTGGGTTCAAATGTTATCTTACCTCAGATATGAACAAACTTTGTAGTTGGGGCAAGTCTTATACATCTCAACACCTTAGCTAATTCTCTAAGTTCTACATTGGTAAAGGGAATTTCACCATCAGGTGTTCCTTACACTAATGAAATCATAGGTGTAGTCTTTCCTCCCCTAACTATACTCCCTCACCTCCATTTTTTTGTTTTGAAGTTAAAGACTTATTTCCATTTTCCATGATTTTATTGTGTTGGGGTTCTTTAAGGCTTTTCTGCTTTTCTAGCCACCAGCCTTTGGAAACAGATGATATATTTTGGAGAAATCTCTCCTATCATCTCTTAATACCTGAGATACTTCTGCTATGTAGGTTTGGATAAATGGGGAGATGAGAAAGAGCATTTGATGTGATAAAGATATAGTTTCCAGACCTCTTAGGTCTGCTTTAGGACCTAAGGACTGCTTAGGACTGCTTTAGCAGCATCCCATAAATTTTGCTATGTTGTTTGATCATTATCATTTTCTTTCACATAATTATTAATTGTATCTATAATTTGTTCTTTGAGCAATTCAATATTTAGGATTTCATTGTTAAGTCTCCATTTGGGTCTGTGTATGTCCATTGTTTTCTGAACTGGTTACTATTTTTGTTACATTATTGTCTGTAAAAGTATGTATTTACTACTACTGCCTTTTCGCATTTATTTGCAGTATCTCTGTGACTTAATATATGGCCATTTTTTCTAAATGTTCCATGTGGTGCTAAGAAATATATGTATTAATTAGTGGTCCTGTGTAGAAGACACCATAAGTCTTTAAGCTCGAATCTAGTAATTTCCCCTTCAATTTATCTTTCCATTGGATTTGTCCAAAACTGAGAGAGGGGACATTAAAAGCTCCTGTCTCTATTGTATTACTGTTCATGTCTTGTAATTCTGTTGATTTTTTTTTTTTTACTTATTTTACTTATTATAGGCACTTTGATATTTGGAGCATATAAATTTAATGTAGTTTTCTGGTTTCTCTCTCTCTTTTTTGGGGGGGGGGTAAGGCAATTGGAGTTAAATGACTTGCCCACAGTCACACAGCTAGTGTCAAGTGTCTGAGGCTGGATTAAAACTCAGGTCTTCCTAACTCCAGGGTCAGTGCTCTATCCACTGCTCTATGTAGCTGCCCCGATTTTTCTCTTTTTATGTTGTGAATATTTGTTTCAGTTCCTGCTTTTTTGGAATCGTTTAATGTAAATTTTGCTCCAGATCTTTATTTTTGTTCTGTGTATGTCTTTTTTTTTAGGTGTGTTTGTCATAAGCAACAGATTTTATAGAATTTGCTTTCTTACTCAGTCTGTCACTTTTTTAAAAAATTGGATTGTTTAATCCATTTACATTTAAAGTCACGAGATTTAGGTTGTTACAATGCTCCATTTGTCCCTACTACTAGCTCTTTTTCAGAATTAGTATTTTTCCCTTTCTATAAAAGAGATAAGGTACTATATCTCTTTGGCTATTTTAGCTTAATCTTCTTTAAAGCAATCCTATTCCCTCCATCTTCAGGCCAACCCCCCACCCCTTTGTCACCCTTTTCCCTAGTTCTGTAGTTTTGCTTAATTTATTAATTCCTTTTTCTTCCTTTCATCTAGTTATCTACTACTTCTCCTCTTTTTTTTTCTTCCTGGAGTAAAGTAAAATTTCTCTTCCTGCCTTTCTCCTTCAACTTGTTTTGTTAGGTTTTTTATTTTCTGCTCTTTTTTCTAAAAAGATTTCTTTCCCTTGTGCTCTTCGTTATTTATCTTCTTTTTTGTCTATTTTTAGACTTCTATTCTTTGATTCATGGCCTTTATATTTATTTATTCCTTTTTTAGTCTTTGTATTCCTCATGGAATTAAATTTTCTAAGGAACATATTTTGGGTTCCTTCTTCTAAATGGTTTCTTTGTATTGCCTTGTAGTTCTTACCCCTTTTCCTTTTTTTTTTTTCCTATTGCATCTCACTCTTAGAAATATCAGTTTCCCCAGATGATAAAGAAGATGGAAGAATTTCCATTGGTAGGAATTTTACTTTGTCCTGATTGTGAAGTTCCTTATTACCCTTTGCCCTTACTACGATCATTTTCCCCATTATGCCATATGATCTTTTCCTGGGTCCTTACCTTCCCACTTTTCTGAGTACCAGTTTTCCCCATGGAGTGCTGATTCCCTTTCTCCTGAGGAGGGATTAGTGGTCTCTCTAAGCACAAAATCCCTGCAGTTAATACCCATTGTAAGGTCCTCAAGTCTCAATATCTCTTCCTCATTAGAAGTCTCTTGAAGGTGAGCTAAGTCGTGCAAATGTTATCATCTCTATTTTACAGAAAAAGAACTTGGGTTTAGAGAAATTGAGTGAGTTGGTTAAGGGATATGCAGCAGGTAAGTATTAGAGTTGGAATCTGAACTCAGGTGTCCTTGAATCTAGCATAGTCCTGTGCTCTTTCTACTCTATCATAGTGAAAGTTAGTTTTCTCAGAGGTATTGTAATAAAGTAAAAAAAACTCTCATTCCCAATTTCTTCCACTTTTACTTTGCGTAGTACTTAAAGCTATTCTTATTTCCCACTTCTACCCAATCCAATTCAGTAATCCAGACCAGTTCCACTTAGCACATTTTCAGTAATTTGGGAATATCCTTTTACAACTTTGTTTCCCTATGACTTTGGGTATACTCTAAATGCTGTCTTTTAGCTTTGGGTTCTCTCCAAAACAAGAGTTTTTAATCTGGGATCTGCAAATTTAAAAAAACTTTTGACAATTATCGTTCAGTTTAATTAGTTTCTTTGTAATCCCATGCTTTTTGTTCTATGCATTTAAAAACATTGTTCTGAGAAGGGGATCATAGATTTTACTTGACTCTCAAGGTAGTCCATGACACAAAAAAATTAATAATTTCTGCCTTACAGACATTTTTATTCTTTTGTTTTGTAGATTAAAGAGACTTTATATCAATCAGCAAATATCTTTGTTGACATATGCTTTTAAAATTTGATATCTTTTATTTTTACTTCACCTTTATTTCCCCATATATCCTCTCCATTTCCCTTCCAAGAAAGCTATCCCTTATAATGAAGAATAAAAACATTGTAGTTCATCAAAACTAATCAACGTATCAATTAAGTCCTACATTATGTGCAGATTTCCATACCTACAGATCCCTACTTTAGTCAAGAAGGAAGAGAGGTGATCCATGTTGTTTCTTGATGAGAGGCAATGTTATACTTATTTCATAGAGTGTTGAACTCAAAGTCAAATATTACCTCTGTATTTATTAGCTGTATGACCAGGAGCAAGCCATTTAATGTCTGTGAGCCTTGGGAAACTCTCTAAGATGACCTGATGGAGAAATCACTGAACAAGTATATTTACTTGTTATTACCATACGTAATATATTGGAAAAGTCAATTTAATTATTATTATTAGCATGGAGTCTTTTCCTTGAATACATAGAGTTAAGGAAGAGATTTGTATCAGTGATTTTAATTTCTGGTTTTTGGTAATTAGGTGGCTAAAGCATAATATAGTTCAAAGGGGATTTGGCTCAGAGTCAGAGAAACAGGGTTCAAGGCCCACATCCCTACCCCTCTTCCCTGTTGCCCCCTCTTCCCCAGCCCCAACACACACACACACACACACACACACACACACACACGGAAGTTGTGTAAACTTGAGTGAGACAAGTCACCTAACCTTTCTGGCCTTTAGTTTCCTCATCCCTAAATATATAGATTGGACTAGATTAACTGTCTTTCTTCTTTGTGGATTTGTCATTCCACAATTTATAAGCATGTCTAAATTGAGAACTCATTGCCAATAGGTTAATATTTATTTTATTTCATTCATTCATTCATTCATTCATTCATTCATTCATTCATTCATTCATT